AGCCTACATTGGAGAAGAGACAGCATACTCAGTTTAAAGAAGTTTAAACTGCAAACTATGGCTTGTGGCTGATCTTTATTATGTGCTCTGTTTTCAAATTCTACTTTTTTTTTTTTACTTTTAAAATGTTATCTCAGGATAACATTTTTCTTTTTTTTAACCCCCATTGCTGTTTTTGAGGACTCATTAGAGAAAGCAAACTATATCACAGAAGAGTCTTCTTCCATTTTCCCTTTTACTTGTGTGACTGTTCTGCCTCACAGAACGTACAACTGATTCTTTATTTTAAAGTGTTTGAGTAGTTTAGCTTGAAGCATCATTGCAGCATTTGAAGTTATAAAAAAATAAAGGTTTCATGATAAGATTATTGGAAAGGAAGGGGCAAGAGATGAACTAGATCTTTGGCTTATCAGCTCTGCATTCAGTATTGGTGGGAGATTCCCAAATTTAGTATCATCATCTAAGAACAGCTCATTCCTTTTAAGTGGCTTAAGGGCTGAGGCTCTGAGAGGCAGTTTCAACACTTTTCATGATCTACCTGAAGTTTGTAATAGAGTTACATGGATGGTGGTTGGGAATGACAGAGCAGAGTAGATTCCTCAGCATCCAAACCTTGCCAGCCCCACAGAGAAAAACCATCACAAGTTGATATCAGGAGCCAGTGCAAATTTAGCTGAAAAGCCTTTTCCCTTCATTTTTGTGCATGAAACACTCAGATGAGACAGTGCTGTGAGAGGGACAGTGCAGCAGCAAAGCTGTGTGGACAGTTTGTCACCCAGGGACTGGACTGCACTGCAGTAGTGCAGGTGCAGAGCACCAGATCAATGGGATAAAAGGGGATTAAGTAATCAGAGTATGTTCTTTTTCCTGATAAACTGTTGTTTCTCTTTGTTCTTTAGCAAGGAGACCTGTGGATGAACAGCAATGCTGGGATTGTTTCTCCCCTGTACAGAGTTTGTTCCAGTAGGTTCTGAATAGGGAGAAGGGATTAGACTGCCGTGCTTTCAGCTGGCCTTTCCCTTTCCCTTAGGAAGCTTTTCTATCAAGGATCATCCAAATATGTGCCATCCTGCCTCATGAATGTGTCTAGTGTTTCATTTTGTCCTTGGTTCAAATTCTCGGCTGTTTGAGTTTAGTTTGTTTCTAAGCACCAGTGCAGCTCATGTTTTGTTCTCCCCATAGTTTCCATCACACTTCGACAAATTTTGACTCATCCTTTCACCAGCTTTATTGTTACTTGTCTCTGTGTTACTGTTTCTCAGCTTGTTATTTAATAACTGAAATACTAGGACATATAGGAACATGGGAAATGATATATATCACCCAGTTGTCATGTTTGGAATTGTAGCAACTCTGTTGCACGATACAGTTGTAAATTAAAATTTTCCATTGACCTGGAGCTTAGAAGGATATTCTCAGTGCAGTATTTGCTTAGTCAGTTTTGCTGATCTTGATATATTTATATCTATTTGTCTTTTATATATCTATTTATATTTCTTTTTATATTCCTCTTTCTTATTTCATTTTGCTGTTCCTAGTAAAAATCCATTTCTCTGGCATGCCCTTGCCTTTATAGGAAGTGAAGTTTGCAACCATTCTTGAGATGGAGTGAAAGGCTTTGATTGTAAATGGATTGTCAAAAAATATACAACATTCTGCATGTTTTATCTGTGCAGGAAACTAGGAAAGTTGACTTAATAACAAAGGAGAAAGGAGAAAGTGATGTCTTTAAAAAATGGCTATATCTGAAATAATTCAGGATAGGAAGGTTTGATGAGACCTGTCTTTATGAATTCTGGGATTGTTCCTTTTGTCTTGTTAAAACTTAACTGCAGTCAAGAGAAAAATTAAAGATTATGTGGGTTTGATAATGTAGTACAGAGCTATTTTTAGTAACTTAAAAAGCTTGTCAAAAGCACTTGCTTTCCACCAGGACTAGCACATTGAAGCCAATGTGGGATTTGAATCCAACCCATTTTTGAGTCATGACGGGCTCAAGATGTCTTTTTAGAAATGTTGAGATCACAAATGCTTTCAGATTTGGTTCAGGCTTTACAGGTAAGTTCTGCCTTGGCACAAGGTCTTGAAATTTCCAACGTGTTGGTGTTACTTTGCTGAAGCTGAGACTGTGTGTGTCAAAATCAGCTTTCGGAGGGAAGGGCTGTTGCAGCGTCCCTGGGAGAGGCTATTGTCTCCTCAGGATAAAGTGATAGATATTTCAGAAGTGCTTTGAAGCTGTGCCAGCCTCCTCACAGGGCTGTGAAATCTGATACCTCCGCTTTTGAGCTGTTGGTGAAAGTACAAACTGTAGTACTTGTGGAATTCATTCACTGACTTCCAAGCTCGAGTCTGGCCTGGGAATGGAAGAAAGAGTTTAAGAGGAAGGCGGGAAAAAAGACTTCAGTAGTATGTGGCAGTTAACTGTCAACTTTGGCATCTTTTCAGATTTACAGCTTCATGCTTTCTAGAGATAAACTGTGACTTTTCCCTAAGGACTGGAGGATTTCATTTTCCTTTCCACTGAAGCTGTTAGGATTGTATGACTGTAGGAGCTAAGTGAAGTGCAGAACTACCAGCAAAATGCCTGCTATGCTCTTAGATAGTTAATTTAAGGCTGCAGAACATTTCTTGCAGCTTGTCCCTATTAGTTTTTCGGTATTTTCCATTTGTAAAGCAGATCAGTAGGGTCCCTCTGTCCCTATTATTATTATGCCTTGTTGTGTTTCATCTGGGTTTGCCTGAAACCTTTGTATTTAAAAGGTAGATTGAAGATTTCCTGTGGGCTCAGAGCATTCCTGTGCACCCTGTGTGACACGGGATCTTGTGTAAAAGCAAAAAAGGAGCAACCAAATTTTCAAAGAGTCAAACTTTCTTGCCCTTTTCGTTCTCAGTAGAGCTCAAATGTGAGCGGGCAGCGAGGCCTCTGTTTCTGCTGTGCAGCCTGGTTGTGCAGCCTGGCTGCTTTTGTTTTATTTCAACAGAGTTGAAGGAAGGTATTCACTTATGTCTCTCACGGTGCTCACTGGGCTTGCCTTGACCTGTGAGTCAAAACTTCTGTTTCGCCCCTGCTCAAGTCTTGTCCGAGTGCAGAAACCTTTCACATGAGGATGGTGTTGTCACTGGAACTGACTGGCTTGTCTGGTCCCACAGGGCACAGCTGGAGCTAACATGGTTATTCCATGCAGTAATCCAACCCCTCTGTGCCGTGCAAGGGTTAGTTTGCAGCACAGCTGCTCTCAGCTAACAATCCCAAAGCAAGGACAGAGTGAGAGATGACCAAGGGTTCTGACACTGAGCAGGGCAGAAAAAGATGGAAAAGGTGTGATTCTGCTTGCTGAGGACTGGTATGACAGAGTTTATGGACACGTAAGGAAAAGTCAGAAAGCTCAGGCTAAAATTGTAACTGCCCAGCAAGGAAGAATAGCAAGGAAATACTTGAGTAACCAAGGTGGAGGAAAGTAAAAATTTATTACTTAATGTGGAAATAAGCAAATAATAGGTCATCTATTTGATGTCTTTCTCCCTTCAACCACCACAGAAAAGGTGAATTATGACCAGATGCTTAAACCAGTTACTTTTAATAAAAACAAGACTAAAAAAGGAACAGGTCAGGTGTACTTGATAGATAAGAAAGATTATAGTCAGCAGGACTTGATAGAATATCCTACAATATGAAGAATTTGCAAATATTTAGTTACCTGCCATTTTCTGTAAGAAATGTGAAGTCTCCTGATGATGTCAAGAAGGCAAAGGCATTACCTGGGTTGGAAAATGCAAGGGCAGCTGAGGGGGAGGAAGCCATGGAGAATTTAAAGAAAGTTGGTGCTTATTCAGTATTAAGAATGAGTAATAGTGTAAATCATTGGATGATACTTTAAAAATCTTTCTTGTCCTTACAAATACGACAAATAATTATTGTGATGCCACTATGCACTGGTGCTACCCATCTAGTAGATTTGGTGGAATCTTTTTTCAAAGAGAAGCTAGAACACAGTCCCACATGACATTCTTGTAAGAAAATTGGCTGGTTTTATGTGGTAAGGTGGGCACAGAACTGCCTGAGACATCCTGGGATGAACGGGTAACTGGGGATTTAGAGTGGCTCATCTGAAGGCTGCCCAGGGAGGTCATGATGGTTTTGCTGCTGGAGTATTTCAAAAAGCGTGTAGATATATAGTAGTTGATTGTGCCTCAGAGGTGGGATATGGGGGAGATGATTTCCTGCAATTCCTTTCACTTCTCTGTTCCTGGGACTCTGATGTGAAGCTGACTGGGGAGGTATTAACTCAAGTGCAAATAACTCAAGTTAACTGTGCACCGAAGACACAACCCTCAGCTTAATAGATGTCATTTTAAAACCTGGCTAGAAAAACGTGGTTTCATATGTGGTAATAATGTCCCAAGAGGACATCCCAAGATGATTGGTAGATTTGAGAATGATGTGGACTGATTGGAGAGGTTCCAAAGTGGGAATGATCAAATGACTAAGAAACAAACCTAGAAGGCAGACTGAAACAATTTGAATTGTGTAGAGAATAAAAGACAGGGGGGAAAATTACAAAAGTCTTCAAATACAGAAGAGGCTGCTGCAAAGAAGAGCAGTATAATGTTTGCAGAGAGTAAAATCCCTGCAGTAGAAGGAACAGGAATTAAGAGAATTAAATTACAGCAGCAAAGATTCAAAGAAGGCATTAAAAAAAAGGGGAAAAAACCCCCAACTATCCAAGTCAGGGATAGCAATGCACTGGAAAAGAGTGCTTGGGTGAATATAAAATCTGTGATGATGTTAAAGAGCCAGTTAGTGAAATACCTCTCAGAAAGGACATGGAGATGGTTGTTCCTACTTCAGATGTTCTTTCAATGTCCCTATCTGATTTCTTCTTCAAAGATCTTTTATGTCCTGAGGAGGAACACTTTGCCTTGATACTTGAGGATTAAATTTGTTCCTTTACTGCTCAAAATAGAATTGCTACTCTCTGTTCATACCAAAACTGTCTGCCTAGCATGTAGTGAAAGTAGCCAGAACTGCATTCAAGGTTTTCACCTTTTGATTCCCTGTTTGCCTCTGACAAGAAATACATGGAAGCTGACTTTTCCACTACCCCATTGCAGCCAGTACTGCAGCTTGTGTATGGAAGAGGGAGATGCTGTTCCTTTGCAGGAGATGCACAGGTAGGACCATACTGAATATCCAGTCATGCAAGTGAAACCACTGCATGCAGTTGTCTTGAATGTGGATTCCTAATTAGCGTTTGCAATAGTCCTTCAAATAACACTTAGACTTGCATGCATTGCTCATATTTGGATTTTATTTCAAGTAAAATCTTCCCATAGCTAGAGCTTATGTCTAAATTTTCTTTGTCTTCAGGGTATTAAGCTGTCAGAGAATTGCTGTAAATTAAAACCAAACCTGGATGCAAAATGTAGCTCATATTGAGACAATGTCAGATAGGTTTTCTGAGGCTAGATCTGTTAAAAACTACAAACTGATCTGTCATTTCTGTTTAGAAGTTCAGAAGGAAGCAGACAGTTTGGATCAGGCAACAGTCTGCAGTGATGTGTCCAAAACAAGAGCTTTTGTTCCAAAGGGGGCTGATGCAGGCCACCAAATATGCCAAGAATGCGGGGCCGTTTGTGGTGCTGCACAGATACCATCACCGGAAAGCTAAGCACCCAAATTCCTGCTGAAATAACACTGCAGTTAAGATGAAGGCAACCGAAATAAGGGAAATCCAAAGCAGAAGGTTGCCACTGCCTACATGTACACTGATGTTCAATATAAAATGATTTCTGTTTTTCTTTGAAATCCATGATTTTCAGACCCCTCCCTCAAACCAGCGCATTGGCTCAGGCAATTAGCTGTGAAACCCTTCAGGGTCGAAAGGTCAGGGTTAGTTACAAGAAGGGGGTTGAGAATTTTTGAATCAGCTAGTGTGATTTCAGTGAGAAATCTATGAGGGCTTTACATCAGGAAATGTTTTTCCAGTTGCCATAATTTCCAAAATCAAACATAGCCATGTGTGTGAAAGCTCTGTGTGTAAATATGTATGAATTGGAGGAGTTGTTGCACTCAATGGCTTGTGAAAAGGCTCTACCAATTTCTCTGAGCAATTTTCATACCCATGTCAGTGGTATTTTTGTAATGCCATGACAATTAACAGTGAAGATTGCATTCATGCTTTTAAAGTCAAGTGGGGTTTATTTCTTGTTGTTAGGTACGAAAATACTGGTTGACATAAACAAAACAAGCAGTGTTCTTAGGGAAAAAGTTAATTTCTCTGGAAAATTGTATGGAAATATATTCAATACTTTGGGAATTGAAAGAAGTTAAGAGTAATGTTCTTTAAATTTTACAACTTCATTGTAACACTTGAATGTCAGCACATTGTAGTGCTTGAAGCTTTAGGTAGGCATAGATTGGAATCCACTCCAATAGCTTGTCTACCTTAAAAATAATTTAAATAAACCAAGTTTCTAACATGACACCTCATTAGTTGTAGCTAAAGTAGCTAAAGAATTACAAAACCCCAAACCCACAGAGCACCAAATCTGCCAAATGGCACATCTGAACTCTGACACTTGGCAGTTTTGGAATTAGCTCCTTTGAGCACCCAGTAGGGCTCATCTTCAGTAAAACAAATATTTTGCAGAAACAAGTTTACCTTTTACCCCAGGACTGGGGTGCAGTGAGGAGCTGCTTTGGGGACCGTGGCTCGAAGAGGTTGGTCTGTGTCAGGATCCCCATGTGATGTGCAGTGTGCTCCAGGGGAGGTATTTTTGATCACCCATAGGGGTGAGCTAAAGTAAATCTGCTTGCTGTGGGTAACTCTTAAGAGCTCGTAAGCCCAGCTAAGCACATCTGGAGAGCAGGCGTTCATAGCCATTAAATGCCACAGGCTTGGCTGGTTACAAGCTCTCCTCCTGCTGCAGGGAGGCTGGAGGGGCCCTTGGCCTGACTGAAACTGGCATTTCTGAGGCTGGAAATTGGAGCATTAGAAGTCTGGGTGCCTAGAGGTTACCTGAATGGGTGTCACAGACAAAATGGCTTGAAAAGTACTGATTAATATGTAAAACCAGGCTGCTGCTGCAGGAGCGTGGGCTGACATCAGTGGTGAAATGGGAAGCAAAGCAGATTAAGCTCTCTCTGGAAAGATCAGTTGGTGAAGGCAATGATTTGGATTCCACCCTGCCTATTAACCCATCTAGAGGAGTTACTGCAGAGAATTTCCCCAGCCAATGTTTTGATGAAGTAGTTAAGTGGTATAAAATCACAAATTCAACACAACTGGTATTTTACTGTTTTTACAGTAAATTTTACAATTTTTCAATTATGCTTCTTTTCATTAATCTCACAATACAGATTAACAGATTTCTCCGCCTTTTTATGGGGAAAATGTGTGGTGGTACTAAGCAAAAAATTTAGAGAAAAGGGACAATTTATTTTCAGTGTCTTTATCATCTGTCAATGACAAGATGGATAGTCACATCTCTGTCTTTGCAGAATGGAGTTTGTGTTTTAATGGATGGGTCTAATCAGAGCTAAAAGGAAATTTCACAATATATTTTTTGTAGAGAACACTCCCAATGCTAATGAGCAGCCGAATCTGTCTCGGGGAAACAGTTTGTTACTAAAAATAAATTGCAGCCTAACTGTAACTAAAATCAGATTGCAGAAACCAAGCTACTCTGATTCCTGATTTCTGCTGCAGAAGGAGATGAATCTATTACAAACAGCTCTAATTATTATATATTTTAAAATGTGCCAACTGAGCCCTGTTTCGAAATTAATCCACTTGTGAGCTTCTATCAAATATGCCTAGAACATTCTCTAGAGATTTTCTTCAGACTCTGCAAAGCCAGTGAGGAACCAGTTCATAGTTATGAGGCCAAAAGGAAAAACAGTGCACACGAGCTATTTATAGAATATGAAGCAAAACAGTGTGATAAAGGGCAAACGAAAGCTTTCAACAAGAGGCTTTTCGTTCCCAGCCACGTGGTCTTTACATGCAATTTCTTTTTTACTATGCAATTTAGCAGGGAAATTAAATCACTTGACAGCAGCCTTTTTCTGGTTAGAAAAGAACCTTTCAGTGCTTCTTTCCCGTTTATAATGCACTCACTTGTGGCTGTTGCTGTTCAAGAGGGTTTGTTTGCAGAAGTTTCTGCAGGGACTGGTAATTTTCTGGCAGGTGGAAGCAGAAGTAGTGACCAGAGGTTGCCCTGGGAAGCTTTTGGTTTCAGCATGGAAAACCACTCTGCTGCCAGCACAACATGCAGAGTTCGTACTCATGAGCCCCCGATGTTTGGGACAACAGGACAAGGATTCATCTCATCTGAAACTTTGACAGTTAAAGGCAGTGGCAGAAGCAAGTAAAGGGAAATCCAACCTTTCCAATTCCTTTTGTGTCCCATCATACACTGTATAGAAATGTCCTTGTTGCCTGTTCTCAACGCAAAGAACAAAGGACGTTTCTGTCCTGGGAGTTTATCAACCACCTCATTCAGGTATATTTTGAATATATTTCTTTCAGTGCTAATTAGTCCAAGTCAAGTATCTGTGCTCCATCTCCAGGGGCTGCCTTTAAGCAATTCTAAGCTTGAAAAAACCCAACTTGATCTGGATGCCAATTTGTGGCTTAGCCCAACATCGTATTCAACTCTTTCAGAAATGTAGGAGTTGCCAATTTTTTGACACTGACTTAAATTAGATATTTTACTGCCTAGTGTGATGTCTCCAAGAAGGGGAATGGTGCAGAAGAGAAATTGCATGAACTGTGTCCCAGAGGTCCAGGCAGATAAAAATAAGTGGCTTGTCAGATAGATTTCTTTTTTGTTATCTTTCCTTTTTCTTTGTGTCCATGATAAAGTTTGACAGAGGCTAAAGAAACTGGATAGTTTATCTCCCAAATATAGAGGATGATGCTGTCATTTCAGAATATTTTCACAGACAAGGTGATTTATGGCAACAGCCTCTTTTCCTTGGACATTAGCAGCACGTTTGCAGGTTTGCAGTGTGTGTGCTACCTGAGCTTCTCACCACTTGGGTAGATCAGACCGTCACCCAAACTCTCTTCTCTCATCTGGGCCAGATTCCTCCTTAGTCCTGGCAGCTCATGTGTTTGCTTAAAAATATTAATACTTCACAGACTCATTCTGCATTGTGACAAGTGACAGAGTGGATAAAATATCCAGGCTTTATGGGAGCTAAGCACTGCAGTTGGGAAGCTGGGTAGCAAGGATCAATGAATGTGATACCTCTCTCTGTAGTCCCATATGTCAGTCTCTCAGACAATTTCACAGATTTGCTAATGGGAACAAGGCTTTTCAGTGAAGCTTCTTCAAGGCCCTTACAGAGATCTGAATGTACTCCAGAACCTTGATGAGTGATAAGCAGAAACACTGAAAGACAAATTTCCACTGCTGCTTCTCAGACACGTGAACTCCTTCATAGTCAGGAGTCATTCTGAGTTTACAGAAATCAATGCTGGCTTCCTCCCAGGATCCAAGTTCTTTTAAGAACTCTGTTTTATATGTCTGTGTGTATGTGTGTATATACATATATAATGTTGTTTTCAAATACCCAGTGGAAATTTAATAGTTGCAGGAACAGCAGAATGGAGGAGAACTAAGTCTATATCCAGCACATAACCCAAACACTGCTGCTGAGTCGATCCCCAAGAGAAAGGCAGGGCAGTAATGCAAAACTAGAGTTGAGAGGTTGGGGGCTGCTCAGTCCAGTTGAACAGCTAGAAAAATCTTCTCTGCTCCTCTAGTGTTCTTGCTGGACACTAAAACTGGTCTAAAAATAAAACCTAGCAAAACTGGAGAAAAAAAAGAAATTGGAAAGAGTGGAGGAAAAAGGAGTTATTTTCAGCAATGTATTCTGTGCAAGTTTTACTTCACTGGGCAAAAATTAAAATGGCAATTTTGAGCCACGATGGCTCATTTCAGTTGTTCAGATATGTGGTGTTCCCATTTCCTTCACACCTTGAACTTCCTGGTCAGAGTGACAGTGTCTCTGGTGGGGCGTGTCCTTCCCATCCCACAGCTGCATGGTGGTGAAGCAGAGGAGCTGCTTTTGTGGGTGAGTGCAAGGTGTGCCCTGCTCTGCTGTGAGAGGGGAAGGTGTTCCCACTGTGTCACACCCTGTGCAGAAGCAGCAGGGCCCCAGCACCCCGGTTGCAAGAGGTGGTGGCAGGAGTGCGGGACGTCACTGATATTTTTTCACTTGTAGTTACTTGTGCAGGAAGACAGTGCAGCTCTCCTCCTAAGTCAGACTGTGACCAGAGCCACAGTCAGTAGGTTATAGATGGGAAACCAAAACAAACCCCATATGCAAGTTCCCTTAACAATGAGCTGGAGCGAGGTGACTCCGAGAGAAGGGCCTTAAAAGCTGCGGTGTTGGAGCACAAGTGGACACAAATCTGCCTCACTGCATTGCCTGTCTTCAGCCTGAGGCTCAGCTCTTGCTAGTGAGAAACAGGCTGATCCCATTCATTACTGTCACCTTCAAATATAAACCTGCTGGAACATAGAGCTCTTCTCAAAGCCATCTTGTACTCCCACTATGTGCTAACCAACAAGACTGTGCTTGTAAGAGCACACCATAAAGTGTGCTCTTTTTTTTTCTTTTTCAAGATGATCAAGAGGGACAAGAGACACAGGAGACTGGCTTAAGGGTATTCAGATCACAAAGCTTTTTGATGAAGAGAACATGCAGCTGGCTGTTCCAGAAAAATAAACACCACTTGTAAATATCTAGCCCTCTTGCCATCTCTGAAGAATTTCTGCCAGCTGATGTGAGTATCTGAGGAAGAGTTTGGAAAGCTGTCGCCCACAGGCTGCCACCTTTGTGCGTTGGCAGGATGAAATGGAGCAGCCTGCAGAATCCGGGGCAGATGAGGATAAGCAGAAGGGACTGTCCTGCTCCTGGTTCTGCTGGATCATGTGTTCATGGCATACCGCTGAAGTACATGCAGGAACTGTGTGCACTGGCACACGATTTACACTAAAGATTTAAAGGATGAACATTAATGAGCACAGACCTGTTTTAAGGGGTTGCTGAAATGATCTCAAAATATGGGACTACATCACATGTTCTTGTATGCTCTCGGCTGTCTAAAACTGGCTTTTGTCCTGACACTCCAGATGCAGGGTAGTCCTTTGGCACAGACTGGGATCCTCCAGCAGAGCTGAGGGGACCTCAGTACCAGGCAGAGCAGGGGTTTGGCTGGAAGGGCACCCAGTGCACAGATATTTAGCTGAACTTTCAGCCCTAGGAACTCTGCACATGCTGTGAAGTAAAGCAGCCCTTACTCAGAGAGACTTTTCTGGCACAAAGGCAGCATGTTTTGAAGCAAGCATTGATTTGTAAAGTATTATGTAAAGTGATAGGTCTCCTTCCTGAAGAGTGGCTGAGGCTTCAGAACAAAGCATTGTGCCTTTTGTGTATTTCTCTTTCCTTTGCAGTTGCAGTTTCCCTCTACACAGTTATGAAGACTAATGTGAGAAGATTTTTAGTTTTGCTGTGAGAATTCATCTACTTCTGCCCCTCTTTCCTCATCTGAAGTCAGTGAAGTGACGGTTCAGGTAGTTATCTGGGTGTGCTCACCCAATTTCAAATCTAAAAGTTTCCAAAATATGCCAGGATTGCTGGCTTTGGACTCCAGCCCACAGATTCGTGCGATTTTGATACAACATGTCTGATTCCCTGCATTGTTGCCTTCTTTTTCAGTGTTTCACTTACACTGCAATAAGATTAAATTAACTTTATCACGAGACATTCATGAGCACACATGCAGGCCTGTATGTACATAGAAACAGGGAGAAAGGAAACACACTATGATACTTAGAATGCTTAATATCTATATATCTGCATAACAAAATCCAGCTTATTCTGTTTCCATTTTTACACAGATTTTTCTGATTACTTAATCCAAAACTGCATCCTACTTTCAGCTAGTGCCGAGGTGATCCAGCAGGCAAGAGGTGAGCTGAGTTGTGTTTGGCCAGTCCCCATGCAAGTTGTTATTTCCTTTTTTTCTTCCCCTGCTCTGTGGTTTGCTTGCTGTTCTTTCTTTTTTTGCTTGCTTTCTTTTTTTCTGATTTTTGGGGTTGGGTTTTTTTTGGGTCATAATTTTACAAATGGGCTTCTTGGATCAGGAGGTTCTTTACCTACATGTTTACATTGCATCTAGTCATGTTGGGCTGTGATCCCAAATTTGGGTCTGTGTGCTACTGAAATATAAATAATGTGATGTTGCTTTGGTATGCAGTCAGGTTGGAATCACTGAGACTCCTCTCTGCTTGTGGGCACTACTCATTACAAGACTGTTTTCTTAATTTTTGCCTGAAAGTGATACTGTGTACAGCACAAATAACCCCCAGCACAGCAAAATAACAAACAGCAACAGCATAACAAAAAGTTTCAGCTGTGCCAAATGGTGAAAGCATTTTCTTGCAAGAGTGAAAATGTGCTGTAAGCACTTCTTGGTTTGTTAGAAATCTTGGGATGTGTAAATATAACTGATCCCATCTAGGTTATCATAAAGGGAGTTTATTGGTGAGCCCAAGGTTAGAAACCCCCTAAGGCTCAAAGGAAAAGGGAAACAGGTGCTTTCCCAGAGCCTTGGAAGCTATGCTACAATTAGTTTCTTCCTTTCCTTTGGGCTTAATAAAGTACTAAAGTTGGTATGTTATAGCCACGGTAACATTTATAATAAGAAAATATGCAAATACAGCAGCAACATAATTTTTCCAGGCTGCTTAGCAAGCAAATGGTTGTGTACAGAATAGCCTTCAATCCTATGAACATCTTTCTGTCAGAGGCAGCTCCTGGTATTTATGACAGCAATAAAACCACTAATTATTATTGGACAAAAAAAATTTCAGACATTTTACTTTCAAATCTTTCAGTATGTAACAAAAGGTTTGGGATTTCAGAAGTTCAGTCCCTGAGGATAAACAAATAAAGTTGTAAAGAGCACACCTTGCTAATATGATCGTTCCTTATTAGCATATTAGTTTTCAAATAAACAACTTGCTAATGTCTCTAATAAGCAATTACTCTATGATGAAAACTGCAAATGGAGCCTACTGGTGAGTAACAGATAACAGTAAAATCTGTCAATAAAACAAATATTGTTCTGCCTGAACAGCTCTCTTCCTCACTCCAAGAGAAAAACAGAGCTGCCTGGGTATTTTTATAGGCTGATGTTTGACAGCCAGGCATGTTACAACACTGCTCCTCTGACACTTTGCTCTGATGTTATGGGGAGGCTTTTCTCTTTACAGTGTTAGTGTTACAACAAAATAAGGCAGAGATCTTTGCTTAGTTGGAAGCTACCTACTCTGAGTACTTGAGTCAAACAAAACCATAGTAGGGTAAATGTTTGCCCAGGAATAGGGCAAGAATTTGCCAGATTATTAGAGTTTTCTTTCTTTCATAAAATGAAAATCATAATTAAAAATTTGGAGTCCATCCTATCTCTGAAACATGCAAATGCATTTCAGTACTCTTTTCTTCATGCTATTCTAAAACATAAAAAATATTTACAGTGGCGAAAAGGTGTTAAATATATGCAACAATCTCACTTTCCCAAACATTGAAAAGTGTGAAAAAAAGTCATAATTTTCCAAGCATAGTTGACAAACTATTTTCAAAACATTTGCAGAGTAATTTTTATACTTTTCTGGTTGCTTTCCCATTGATTAGAAAGTTCTGTTGTGCTTGCTTTGGTCGCTGTACTTCTGCACTCATTTTTCTAAAATAATTTTGCACATGTTCTCTTAGTTTTCAAGAAATAAGGATATGGAATATGAGAGAGCCACAAATCCCCAAGCCTGGTGCTTTCCAAATTCCATGGCAAGTTTTATTTTATATATAGCTTTGTAGAAAAGGGATCATTTGAAGGAAAATCTTGAGCCATTCTTATCTTTGTTCCATGGTGGACTGACATCATGGTATGGAAATGCAAGGAATGTACAGTAAAGCCTGGTGTGGGAAGAAGATCTTGGCAGAGGGATGATTAATGGTGTCTGAAAGAGGGAAAGCAGTTATGTAAGAAATACAGCCCATGAGGTTCAAACTGAAGAAACCATCACAGGTGCAGACTGTAAACAGGCCCCAGAGGGAAGAATATTGGTCTTTTAAAGGTGGACTCTGTAAACAAACAGATGAGGCGTAGGAAATATCTTTCCATATAAATTTTTATGGTACAAATCAGTACATGGAGCACATAAGCACCATAAGTGTTTATAAACTCAAAGAACATCCATATTGCAGTAAAGCAGCACAAATTGTACCACGGTGTAAATTTATATAGCGTGAGGCAGATGTGTGGTCTGATGGCTCAGTTTGTTTTTTTGACTTTAGCAAATGACATGGTTTCTGTGTCTCTGGTTTTGTTTTGTTCCGTTTAGCTGCTCTCAGCTACATAATTGTTCTTTTAGCTTGTAAATATTATGGTCAACCTCCAGCAAAGTTTAGATGAGGCCAATCAAATGTAAACAAGTGTGTCTGCACCAATGATGTGAGTAAGCAAAGTCATCTCTTGTGATGTTTCCTCCCCCTTTTCCCAACTCCCCTGGGACTGCAAGAGCTTTGCCAAGCCTGCCGTGGTAGTGCACAGCCTGGGGTTCAGTTTAACGGCCTGTCTGGGATTTATTTTTTTGAGTTTTTTGTTGTTTTTTTCCAGGGTATTTGGTGTAGGATTTATCCAGTGAAATGAGAATAATGGATCAGAATCACTTCTGGGGAGTGTCCTCATGTCTGTCCGTGCTTCTGTCCCTGCCCTAGAGATTGTTGTCTGCAAAGTCAGCACAAGTTAATGCAGGTGTAAGGTGCAGTGTGGAGGGAACTGGAAGGGTGAGGATGAGCAGGGATTCCTGATGTTGCAGTGCTGTGGCACTGTGGTGTTTCAGCAATGCCCTGAGATGGTGTCAGCCCCTCTGAGTGCAGTTTTCCAGCAGGGCTCAGCCTGCACTGCAGCAGGGAACACGACCAGCAGCACAGATGTGGCTTGGTGGCACTGTCACAGCTGTTACCGTGTAAGGGCCACAAGTGCTCTTTTGCTACAATCAGCAAACCCACTGCTTGAAAGCCTTTGCATTAAAAAGATATACATGGCATGCTTTTAACCCTAGAATATGATCTTTGAGTTAAAGGGGTTTCACTGCATGTTGCTCTACTGTTTCAGCCCAAATCCAGCCAACCAGTCACTGTCACTGTACAGCTCCCAACCTGTAGGACATACTGTCAACACAGTAAATGAATCCCATGGGCTTTCTGCTGCGAACACAAGCAGGCAGGTGGGTTTCCCTTCATGGAAGTGCTTTCCCTTGCTTTGGAGCCTCTCACTGTTGTGCAGTGGACACAGGCCCTGCCCATTCCCCTGCATCCAATCTTTACCTGTTTCCAGCCTTGCCTTCCCACTCCAGCTTTGTGTTTTCCAAGTGCCCAAATCTTGCTTTTTGCAGCTGTAGCAGTTCAACACTAGTGGCAGCCTTATGTTCCACACCTCATGCTCTCATAGGCAGTGAACTGTTGGGTCATGATTTTTTGATTAGATATGAATTAACCTTTAAGGAAAAAAACCACCAAAGTAATCACTGCAATGCTCCTGATCTCCTGGGAATGGAGCCTGGGAGGTGTCTGACATTTTGCATTATTATCTATGGGAGAGGAAGGAGCTGGGCTGTTTTTTCCCACAAGAAATGTATCTATTTTTGAGAGCAAAGTACTTTCTTTGCCATGGGACCCAAAACAGTTTTCATTCACTGACTCACGGTCTCTGGAGGCTTTTTCCCTGAGCTTAGGAGGCAAGTGCTTAGTGATTTGCAGCTGGAAAAGTGACAGCCCAATTAGCTAAAACTGTTAATTTAAAGGTAAAGATGTTACCTGTTTGCAGCTATCTTGGCTTTGAAGAACCAAACCTTCTCCATCAGCCCCGTTCCTCTGTTTTCAACACAGAGTTGCTGTAGATTTGATCATTACAGCTATTGGGTGAGAATCTGAAAGCAGTGTATCAACACCATATGATTTATTCTGTGGTTCTTGCACAGAAAGCCAAAATATGATTTCATGCTTTCCTGTTTCTCTTTTTGTCTTCTTATGGTATAAAAATCATTCATTAGCTATTTGCTATTAAATTTGTCCAATAGGCTATTTGCTTAATTATGGATGAATGCTTATTGATGAATCTTTCTTCCCAAGAGACAATCTCTCCAAGACTCAGGCAGAAACTACAGGAAATGTACTTGGACAATGTTCAAGTTTTACTTCTTCTTGTGGCATATTGCAGAGCCAGCGTGGGTCACCTTGGCAGGCCATAAGCCTCAGACTGATCCATAGGATGCTTCCATGTGCTTTGCCTTCTACTTTTTGAAATATGAGGAATGTCTGTAGTCAGTATTCATTCCAAACAGCTGAAAACTCTCTCCTGCATCTCTGGAGGGTCTGATGGTTGGATCACTGTCTGCCTTGTCCACATGGTAGGACAAGACTTGGAGGCAAATGTACTCTGGGAGCTGCCAGTGTCCACACAGCCTGGGAAGTTTTGGCAGGTGGGACCAGACATCTAAGCATGCTTTTCTGTTTCATTCATAGGTTGCATGGGGATTGTTTAACCTTTAGACAAAGCCTTTCCAAATAAAATGTTTTACCAAAGGAACAAAATTTTAAGGAATGGGGTATAACAATATTTAGAATTCCTCCACATTGCAAAATCTGTGCAATAAACTTTGGAAGAGTCACTACCAAATGCGCTCAGTAGCATTTCTTAATATTTGGAGTTGTTCTTAAATCTATATACCTAATCATCTCTTTAAACTATGCCCCAGGCATAGTGGAGTGGAAAGAAATATTTAAAAAATGCCTGAAGGAATAAAGTCTCATGCTATTTATGGTAAATGCTCTGCTTTCCTCTTGTTGAGGAGTTTCATTAGTTTGAATTAATGCGGCTTAAAAATTACTGACAGTAAAGGAGATTCCAAAATGGCACATGGAATATTTTTACTGTTAATACATAATAAAGAGGTAACCATCATTTATCCTAAAGTCAAAATGCAACTTCAGATTTCTTATTTAGAAGATGATATCTTAATTAAGCTCTGCCTGGGAGATGACTGGGTGAAGTTCGTGTGATGTTTTTGCTCAAGTTGTGTCTGTCAGGTGCAGTTGGTTGTTATAGAAAATATAGCAAAGAATTTCAGTGCAGTGAAACCATTTTTCCTGCCTGTTCACCAAAGCCCAAGTTTTCTGCTGTCTTTCTAGAGCTTGGTGTGACTGAGGCTGCTTGTCACAGTATGGCAGAAGGTCCACGAGCTTATGTATCTCTGGGCAAGCAGAGCTGCAGGACAACACACTGGAGTGGGACCCTGGCTGTTATGTCGTAGTCTACCCTATCAAACAACTGAGAGCTCCTTCCACCACATTTTTGACACTGGTGGGCAGGGTATGGGCATACAATGGACTGAAAGTGGGGACAGAACTGGCACTCAATACCTTGTATCTTTAGTGAAGGATCCCAGTCTGTTTGTGAGGTAAAAACTACTGTATGCAAAGGACCTACTGCAGCTGATTATGTGTTTTATCCTCCTATTCTTTTGAATCAGACTCATATGCAGAATCTTTGCTCAAAATCCTTCTTACTGATGTTTCATGGTTTCTGATTTCCATTATTTGACAATTACTAAAAGGAAATCTTGTAACTGATGCAGCATTAAGAGCAGATCTGAGAATAATCAGTAGTTTCAGCAACTACTTTCTATTCTTTCTGCTTTTGTGGCTTATTATAAAAGTGTCAATCTCTCACTGCTATCTAACAAACAAACTTCTGCCCTGGATCCATTTCCTCTTGGGCAGTTTGCCAGGAATAACAAATTTAACTTCAGTTCTCAGTTTAAGAAGTTTCACTTCACTGAGTAGAGTTCAAGTACAGTCTATTACCCCGACTAAGTGATAGAGGAGTCCTTTGATGTTTGCTTCTTGAGTGGTTTATACAAGCCAGAGTTTCCTGTAGGAAAAAGAACTGCAGCTGAAGGAAATACCTGATTGATCAGGTAACCTCTTCCTCTCACTCCCACTTGAGAGCGTCTGAGTGCCCAGTGACAGAATTATGCAAACATATAAAGAGAGACTCAATACAGGCTCCACCAGCAGAAGTCACATACAGTTTGATGATGTTGCTCAGTTTATCAGGTGAGAGTGGCCAATCCTACTCCTCAGACCTTCCTGTCTCCCACTGCTTTCCCTACATGAGCTCTGGTGGACCACCACAGCTTGCTCAACCTGCTTAACCTGTAAGACTTCACAGCTGAAGTTTTCTGCCATGCCCATGAACTGAACTGAATAATTAGTAGGGTTCTTGCCATGAAAGGGGCTGGGCTGCACAGGTGGCACCTGGAGTGGGAGGCTCAGGGGAGAGGGGAATAATGTTACATAGGAACAGAAGTCCTCCATCTGCACTGCCAGCCAGCAGGTCAGCCTGGCTGTGTCACTGAGCCATGCACTTGGGGGTCCTCCAGAGCCCTCTCACCTTCAGCTGGGTCCCACTCCGAACTCTTCTGGAAGATACTGTGCTCTTGGACTGTGTTCACTTTATCACATAAAATAAACAGTGCTGTGTTTTGTTTCTCCATAAGAAGGCAGAGTGATGCTTCCCTCCCAGTGATTCTGACCTGCAATTTTGAGGAAGAAGCAGAAGTTGACTGGAGTACATAGAGGAAAAATAAGGAGTGTACCTTGAAAGGTGATCAGAGCACAGGGATCAGCTGAGGACATGGAGGAAAGGGAAAAGGTACCAGCAAACCTTGCCTTGTCAGAGTTGTTTGAAGATCCCCACTGTTCTGTGGTCAGTGGTTGTGAACTACTGTGCTTGATCTCCGAACCTGAGTATTTAAAAATTCCCTTTCTAGTTAGCTTGTCACTCACAGATAGTTGTCGTGGTTTTTTTTTTTCTGGGCCAATGTATGTTCATGACAATTTTGCCTCTCCCTGATCTTTGTAAGTGTGGCCACGATGTGTGTGGGGAGTGCAGCATTGCTTTCCTGTCCATGCTGGAGCACCTGGGCACAGAACTGCCTTGCAGAACTGTCTCCTCTAACCAAGGGGACAGCAGAGCAGTTTGTGAGCAGCACTACAGTGTCATGAGTAGCCGTGCTAATTACTGACAGGAGAGGTCTGAGCTCCTGGCCTTGCAGTTCTGCTCCTTTCCTTGAGTTGGATATGTTGGGTGCCTGTCAGATGACTATTGAGCTGATTCAACTTACCCAAAAGAAAACCATGCCCATGTAACATTGTCACCATTGGCTGGAAGTAGAACATGAGGAGATTTGGAGGAAAACAGCCTTTATTTTGCAATTAGATGTTGCAATACCTGTGGATATTGCAAGCTCCACAGTGTTGCAAGAGAGTCCCTTGAGCAGAACTCATTGAATTTGGTTTATAAAAGCTCCTCTTAAGTAGGGGTATTGAAAGTTGTGAAATTACCCATTATTCAGTACATGCAAAGTAACAAGACATTTCCTAAACTGTTTTATTATAGCTTATTTTGAGTTGTGAAGTGGCTTTTCCTTCAGCTATATCCATGCCCAAACTGGAAACAATTTTAATCCAGATCATGCTGACTCTCCTGAGCTCCTTTATTGTATAGATAAACACTTTTATAAGATCTAATTACCTGTAGAAATGCACACGTTGGAGACCTCAGCATTTACTTGCTTTGCAGCCTGATGTAACAGGCAGTTTCAAAGATGTAAACTCCTCCCCCACAGAACTTCTGAAATTTTTTGCAGGTAGCCCCAGCAGTGTGTCCTGTGTAATGGACACTGACATTTTCCAATCAGCAATGTTATTTTTAAGCTCTGCCGTGTCATCAGCTGGTCACGTATCTTATTGCTTCACAGACCCCGTGCCCTGCTTGCGCCTGCAGACAAACCTAGCACAGGCTGGGGGAAGGTACTTCATCTTTTTTGGTTTGCCCCTTCCCCTCTTACATCCCAGAGGTCTGTTTCTTGCTGGGAATAAAGGCTGACATTGAGAGGCCAGGGAACTACATGTGGCAGTGCCTCCTTGAATCCGGGCAGCTTGTCTGGCTTCTCCAAATCTCTCCTGTAGCCCACGGTGCTTCTTCCCCCAGTGAGACTTCCACCTCTAAAAGTGCTGTCAGTTTTCTTGGGAATTATTTCCAAAGGAGTTATAATTTTGCTGCTGAACACCCAAAATGTGCTTTCTTTGAAACCCCCCTTCACTACCCCTCATGTGGGCTGCAGAGGCCTTTTTTTTGCACTTTGACACTCTTCCTGCCTTCCTGTAGAAATGCTGCTCATCAACTAGTTCAGCATTTTTGCGTGCCTTTTCTTGTCCTAGAGCTCAATACTACTCCTTTCTCAGTCTGAGGATGGGTAAAGGATGGTCCCTCACTAAATGGAAACATATTTTTCCCCTCAAGAGATTTGCTTTTATCCAAGTTGTTTCTTGAAGAAAGAAAAAAATGCCAGAAAGAGAGATGTGAGCTGAAGCAATTTGTTTGTTTGACTGCAGGCTCACCCTTACATCAAAGTACAGTGGAGTTGTGTGGTCAGATTGTCAGGTGTGTGTCCTGAGTGTGAGGAAATGAAGTTTACAATGACTGCAAATGGATAAGCTTTTAGAAGAGCTGAATTGGCCAAGTCTCAGTCACGTTTCTCTTGGTTCCACTCATTAAAAGACATGTTCTTACTTTCTCATGAACTCTCTTCTGGATGAAATGTTAGAACGAATTCCATTATGCTCATCCCGTGCAGGTAATAAATATTGCAGGACTCCTCTGGAAAAAGTAAGTGATAAAATTCTGGTATCTTTGCCAAGATTCTCGTTTTTGCATTCAATGAAACACATTCCAATGTGGTGGAAAACAGAGTTTCTTGTTTGTAGAAAATTTTATTGTTGGTGGGTTTTAATTTGGTTTGGAACCTCAATTTTTAGGATCATCAGCTTTGAAGTGGAAATCAAGGCTGAGTTCAAATTCTGACCTGGGGAAGGTTTGGAACAAAGTATTTCACATAAACAGCATTTTCTTTGGATAAATTCTGATGATTTAAAATGCCTAATACTTCATACTGCTGGTCAATTGGATTTGTTGTGCAGAAGAAGCAAACTTTGTCCTAGCTGCCCAGAAACTTTGTATTTTCCCTAGGTGTGCTCAGGGAGACACAAAGGCAGGCACCTCAGCATTCCCTCTGGAAAGCCACCTCTGCACAGGCTGTGGTATCTCCCCTTGCAGCTGTGAAGCTGGAAGTGCAGCCTTTGTGGCTGCCTGCAGCTCTGATGGTAAACATAAAATGTAAAATACACTGATTATTTGCACTGAGAAACAAAGCAGCCCATGGCAATCCTAACTGCCAGCATTTCTTGCCTGCCAATTTACTTCCATAGTAGCTGGGATAAGGCCTTAGGGAGACAAAACATGACAAGAAACATGGCAAAATATGAAGCCCCTTTTCTTTAGTAGCAACTGCTCTCTTCCCACAGCTGGCAGTGGGGGAGAAGACATGAAGAGACCTGGAAGCTTCTTTGTACCCAGTGTGTAGCTTTGTGATTGATTTCTTCCGTGAGCAGAAATTCCTGTAAGAAATGTAAGAAATTCCTGCTCCAGCAGATTGTTCCTGTCTCAAAGTGTTGAGCTGGCACGTCCTAGAGCCAGTGCACACTCTGGCCCACCCGCAGGTGTATCCGTGTCCTTGGCATGGAGAGCATGGCATAGTCATGAGCAAAAAGGCACATTCACAAGCACACTTTGGGCAGCCAACATAGCCCAAGGACATGTGTCCTTCCCACCTTGTTGGACAAGTTGCTCTCATCCTTTGTTTTTGCAGGCGATTTCAGTCAGAATGCTGAAGGGTTGGATGTTTTTCTTTACTGAGAGGAAAGAAGACTGTGACATAATCACTTGATTAAAAAAGCCCCATATGCCAGGAAGGGCAGAGGGAAGAGAAGCACAGCCTTGACATCTCCCCACCAAGAATGAAAGAGGAAAATGATAGGTCCTTTTTAGGAAAGCTTTGCTACTTGCTTAGGAGTCGCTCCCACTCAGCTGGAGGGTGTTGTGTCATCTTTTGCTCAGCACGGGAAGAAGAAGCCAAAGCATCTACCACAGAAATTTTAGGGCTCACAAGCCCATGTCCATTGAGTTCAGCTTTGGGAACTTCATGTTTGTTGTGCCAGAGGCTCAGTGTGCCTCTCTCTGTATGTGCTACTGGTAAAGGCATTAATTGCAAATTGGTTTTGAGGCTTTTTGGCTTTTACTTTTGTGGAAAAACACCCCTCCTAAAACTTTGGAGAAAGGATGGAAGAAAGGGAAAACTGAATGCCACAGACATTTTTACATCATTATTAAACTATTCTGATGAGAGAGGATCCTGAAAGTTCTCTGATGATTTGAAACATTTTCATTTCTTTGGAAAAGTCTTTGCAGAAGTAGAGTCTATGTTTTTGGCTGGCATTTCCCAACAGCTGTTGCCAGCTTTCCTACAGGTCTGGTAGA